CCACACGAGCCCAACAGCGATGGCCACAGAGGTCGGACATGCTCCCGCCGTGCATCCTTCTTTACTCTCTTCTGACAACAGCTATTCCTTGTGCCCCATTGTGCTTTGTTGCTCCGTTGGCTATTTCATTGCCATGGCCACACAGAACTAACAGACATCCCTCACCGTTACGAGAACTTATTAGAGCAGTTATTAGGTTACCACAAGCTGGGATCAGGAAACATTAGGCTAGGGGTGAGGACCATCTGGCTGGTGGGCTGTCTAAGGCCCACAAAGCCATCAGTACCAGCTACCATCACATGCCTCACCAAAGAGAAGCAGTCCCAGCCATCACATTGGAGTTAATTAATTAAATGCGTGACCAGTGTGGTCTGGAAGTGATGCTTAAGTATCCAAATGGCCCGTGGCAGAAAAAGGGTTCCTCATCCCTGCGTGAGGCATGTAATCATTGGTCCACAGCAGTACCTCTCCTCGGCCAACAGCCAAATCTCTCTCTTTCTGATCCCTAGCCTCTGCCTTTGTGCCCTAGGAAGCCCGCCCACTACTCTGTCTCACCATCTAATGGTCTCCGTGCTTCTCTTCTGCTCTGTTTACGTGTCTTCTCTGCCTCAGCCTCTGGTCTGGCCGTAGCGTGGCATGGCCTCTTCTGCTTCCACCATTTCAGGCAGGGATTTCGAATGTGCTTTGCTGGTGGCTCTTCCTTGATGGTGTAGGAAATTCTCTCTTCCTGTTTCTGAGGTGACATTCTTACAGCCTGAGGAAGGGCAAAACTGAGTCATCGCCAAGTCCACTATACCTTATTAGCACAGTCCTATTCAATCAATCATTTGGTAGGACTTATAGAGAAATGGATAGAAGAACCATATTAAGAAATTTCACTTCATCACAGCTTTTTTGAGGAATTTTCTCTAGGGATTCTCTTTTTCCCGTCTCAGCTTCATTGATTGGTTCTGACAAGGTATCGATAACCTCATTTTACGAGTGAGGAAAGCAGAGGTTGTCTCGTTTGCTTAGTGAATGGTAAAGTCCAGGTCATACCAGGCCCGCTGGGTTCAGAAGCAAATGTGAAGTCTAGTGCAAGCCCGGTGTCTGCAGCATTGCTGTTTACCAGAGCAAGAGAAAGAGGCGAATGGGGCGAGATCCCCAGTGTCCACCTGGTCATAGGAAGCCCAGGAGCCAGTGAGCAGAGGCCAGACAGAAGCCCCACCGTGGGCGTGAGCAGTGCCAGGGCACACGGGGCAGGGTCCCAAGAGCTGCAGGGTTCTGCTTGCTGTTTTTGCCAAATGTGCTCTTTCCCCCACTGCTTATCTTAGTGACTCAGTTATCAGTCCAGGCTCTTCTCTTTAATAAGAGAAATATTTATTCTGGTCAAACATAGAGACAACACTGGAGATTTTTATTTGGGGGTCCAGAGGAAAGCTGTAACTTGAAAGTTAGTAAGGTCAGAAAGATTTAAGGATTCCTCCAGGGCATGAGGGATTCTTGGAATTTCAGACTGAGTATGCTGTTTCTACACAATGTCTTCGGATGCTTGAGATTCTGAAAGTCGTTTACAGTGTTTTGTCGGGAAGGACAATGGGCATGCTGTCGCCACAGGATGGCACACCTTCTTTGTTCCCCTGGATAGTGATGCGAGAAGGCCTGTCTCTAGAAGCCTTTCTACCTGAACTGTAGGCCTGCTCAGTGTTACAAGGGAGTTGTTTTTTCTTCCGTCTCTGGGCACGCAGCCTCCCTTCATTCTCTCTACCTTGTCTCAAATCTGTGGACTGAAAACCACACACCAAGGACCAATGGTTCTCGGGTAGAGAGTAGGCACTGTGGAACAGGCAGACGAGAAACAACCTCTGGCAGCTTCTGGATCTTTATAAAATTTTGTTTTGTTTGAGAAGGGCCTTGTTTGCTAATTGTTTGCCATTTTTTAATGCTGAAGAGCTGAGTGTGGTGTGCAGTAAGGCCTGCTGAGAGATGGGGGAGGTTATGTGTCAATAGCCGATGCAGCCAGGCTTTCTCCCTTCGAGGTGATAGGAAGCCCCTCGTAAACGGTTTTTTCTCCCAACAGTAGAAAGGCCAGACAGCACAGGAAGTGGAGTACATAAAGATTTAATAAGCGAAGGATGCTTCAGTCATGAAGCAAGGCCCGTCACAATTTGAGGAAGACCCCATCTAGGGTATGGCATTGGGTTTTGGAGTGGTCAGGTGGCAGGACCCCATTGATTCACCTCAGTTCTTATTCTGCTTTCCCATTGGCCCCTGTTCTTGAATCCTGACTGGTCCTTGTGTGTTACGCTGGGTCGTCTAGAGAAACAAAGTGAGTTCATCTATGTAAGAAAGAACTTTGTATCAAGAAGCAGTCTTATATCGAGGGGGTTATAAAACTCTCAGGAGGCTATGTTTATATCCTCACCTTGCTTAAAGGATACAAGGTATGGAGAGTGGATGGAGTGCATGAGGAATGGGCCGAGTCCCACTCAGCTTTTCCTGCTGGGGCTGTGGAGGACCCCTCCCAGAGAGGTGGTGCAACCCTTCCTGGGAGAGCCGTAGATCTCCAAAAGGGGCATGCCCCCAAGGAGCTCTCTGATCTGTTAATGTCCTTGACCACAGGGTGTGGGTGCCATGGACTTAATTCACTTGTATATCTTGTTGTTTTTAGATAAAGCAAGGATACTGAAGAATATGAAAAGCCCTGGCTTTTCCCTAGAGAGTTTGAAGCCCCCCAAAAGAAAAAGCCTTTTTTGGTAACATGCCTGGATGATGTATCAATTAGGAGATAATGAGGCTGACCAGGCTGGCTAGAGAAAGAGGGGGCGATAGACCAAAAAACCCTACCATTTTTCTTTAAAAAAAAAAAATCATTTTATTGGGTGCTTGCACAACTCTTAATCACAATCCATACATCCATCCAATGTGTCAGGCACATTTGCACATTTGGTGCCATCATCATTTTCAAAACATTTTCTTTCTACTTGAGCCCTTGGTATCAGCTTCTCATTTTTTCCCCTTCCTCCCCCACCCTCACTCCCTCATGAACCCTTGATAATTTATAAATTAGTATTATTTTGTCATGTCTTACACTGTCCAATGTCTCCCTTCACTCACTTTTCTGTTGTCCATCCCCCTGGGAGGGGGAGAAGCGCCATTTTTCATCATGATAAGATCAAACCGGAGTCTTGTCCAGGCAGGAAGATGAGTGGCCACCAGAATCCCTTGCAATTCTTTATCTTCTTAGCCTCTTCTTAGCCCCACAGTAGGAATCTGGCTAGATCCCTGAGGCTAGAGGACTTTCACTAGAAAATTTTCTTCTCTTACTTTTAGCTTGAAATGATCTGTTATCTACAATTTGAAATCTTTCCCTAGCCGACATCTGTTAGGTATGGTTAGGATAAAACTATTTTCTTTGTCTGAGACTGACTTTCTTCACTATTTCTCTGTATTGACCTTGCAAACTAGGTTGCTGTTTCTTTGAGCTCATTCTGAAGTTTAAAAATGTTTGTTCTTTTGCCCAGTATTGAGAATGTTGTGAGGCTACAGTGGAGAAGAGAACATTGGGTTAACTGTTTTAAAAGGGACTTTGTTGTCTGTATTCTTGGGTAGAGGGAAAAGCAGTGGAGTCTCCTTAATTTCTGAAAACGTGGCCTTGCCCCTTTTCCCAATATGGCAACCGCTAGGATGCAACATGTGGATTACTTGTACAAGATGACACCCATCAGGCTGCCACATGTGTTTCTGCCCCAGGCTAGATGAGCCCTCATTTTGGAATTCTTTCTGATTTTAAAAACATATTCTGGGTTCTTCCCTCCTCTCTTAACAAACAGCTTTTTTGTTTCTAGTGGGACAGCCCATCTAAAGAATGCACTATTCAGTTTCATTGGTATAACTTTCAAAAAACTCATTGCAATCGATTTGGTTTTAGATCATAACAACCCTATAGAATAGGGTAGAACTGCCTCTGTGAGTTTCTGAGATTGTAACTCTCTACAGGAGTAGAAAGCCCCATCTTTCTTCCATGGAGTGGCTGATGGTTTCAAACTGCTGACCTTTAGGTTAGTAGCCCGAGGCATAACCACTCTACCCTGAGGGATCCTCAATTGGTATAACAAGGCCTTTTAAAACAAAATGTTGGGGAAATACAAGTTTTACTTCTGGATGATAATTAAACATGTGTGCATAGGTATGCTTTCCTTAAGAGTTCAACTTTGATTTTGTAACATGCAGATAATTTATGAATCAAATAGTTTTAATATTTTAAGGAACATGTGAAATATATAAATAGGTCAGGAGCTGCTGGTTTAATTTACATGTGGTGCAGGACAAGCCTAAAGAAAGGCGGAATCCTAGACAAGCCCCCAAATGTTATGTGTGAGTACTCTGTATCATCAGGGATTCTCCCTTGGGCAAGGCCCTCTCTCCTGCCACAGAGAGAGCCACACATAAGACAGAAAGGCAAGGCTATACAATAGGACAGCAAGTGGAGCAAAGATTCAATAAGCAAAGTATGCTTTCATTATAAAGTAGATCCCCTCACAATTTGAGGAAGACCCCATTAGGGGACAACTGGATTTAAATGGGTCAGGTGACAGCACCCCACTGACTTGCCCTAGTCCCTGTGCTGCTTTTCCCATTGGCTCTTATTCTTGCGTCCTGGTTAGTCTTTTCTTCCCAGTGCAGTGGTTGGTCTCTTAATCCACAGCTGCTTCTATTCTTCGTTGTTATATGAGGCAGTTTGAGATGGGTCATCCAGACTTCTAGCTTACCCTGACAGAGAGGAATGGGGGAGCAAATTATAAACCGGGTTTACATATTCTTTTTTGTCTTTGTCATCTCTGAACCCAAGCCCAGATCAGTGGATTGGACAAGATACTCTCTGGGGTGACTCCCAGATTCCATGACCCTATTTTGTATTGCAGTCGGCATGTGGCAGAATTTCCCATCTACAGAGAAGAAAGAGAAGTGAGAGCTTAAATCAATGCCTCCTGTGTGGAGTGGGATGTGTCTGAACCCTCCTTGCTGTCTTGGGGCCAGCAGCTCCCTCCTCTGGGTTTGCTGTAGATGTAGAAGGCGACTTCATTCTCTTCTTTCCCCGAGAGGCCTCCGGTGAAGATCACAGAAAAACTGTGAGACATCTTTTCTATACAAGGCAGTTCCAAAAAATGTGTGGAAAATGGAATGACAAGATAATGGAACGTTCCTGCAATTTTTTACAGTAATAACGGATTCTGCCTTCCTCAGTTTGGTTGCACAGTTGCGTCTTGTTTCTCTAGTTCTAGGTTACGCTAGATTGCGTTGGAAATTTGGAGATAAGGGCTGTGCTTCATTTACCTGTTTTACATGCAAATATCCAGGGACCTCAGTAGGTGATTTCACATTGTGAATAGATTTGCTTCTGCAAATTGCAAACATTTCTGTGTTTGGCTTAATATTTTTCTTTTCAGAATTTATTGCACAGGCAGTACTAGGCTTTTCCCTAGTAATTGCCATGCAAGGTGTGCTTTTGCCCTCTCTCACTTTGTGCCGGCTGCACCTTGCTGGCCCTGTTGTTTTGCATTGGGGTTTGACTGTAAGCTCTCACTCACCCTTGCCTACCACCTCAGTCCCTGAGGGAAAAACAAAACAAAACAGACCTATCGCCATTGAGTTGATTCTTACTCAGCTACCCTCCAGGACAGTATAGAACTGCTCCTTTGGATTTCTGAAGCCTCACCTTTCTCCCAGTGAGTGACTGGTGGAGTCAAACTGCTGACCTGGGGTCACTGCCCATCGTGTAAAAAGCATGTGTTTTCCCCTCAGGAGCCCTGGTTGTGCAGTTGGGAAAGCGTTGGGCTGCTGTTCACAAGGTCAACAGTTTAAACCCACCAGCCACTCCTTGGGAGAAAAATGGATCTGTCTGCTCCCATAAAGGTTAAAGTTCCAAACCCCCCAGATAAAATGATGATGAGTGGATTTGGGTTTTGGTTTGGTTTGGTGTTTCACTCAACAAAGTCTCTACATGAGTAGAGAAGTGTGATTTTGGCCAGGTGGCCGATGACAGACGGTCCTTGTTGATGCCAGAAGTGGGCCGTGTTCCGCACCTGCCTGCCCGAGTTCCTAAAAAGACAATAAATCAGCAAAGCCAAAAAGAGTTGGAGCAGATATTAAATTTTTAGTGTGCTTCCGACTTCTCAGCAAACGTAAACACCTTGAGGAGAGCTGACCCACGACTTCCTGCTGTATGAACAGGGAAAGAAAACATTTGCCCCCAAAGAGCAGCATAGGCAGCCTCTAGCCCTTGTCTCACTTCCACCTTGCCTGGCAACCCATGGCAACCAAGGTCCCTCTCGTCTAATTACCTTTATATTCAGGATCCTTTTTCAGCAACCCAGAAAGTGTCAGCCCCTACTTGCATGAGGACGCCAAGGCAGTGGTTTTGGTTTCGTCTGCTTGTTCAGTATAACACTAATCGAAGGATTTGTAAATAATGGAATCCAATCATTGCCATTTTTGCCTGCAGCCTGGAATTGTGTCGCCATTTAAACGAGTATTCCTAAAAGGTGAAAAAAGTAGAGATAAGAAAGCCCATGAGAAGGTGACAGAGAGGCGCCCTCTGCATACGGTGGTGCTGTCATTGCCTGACCGCGTCGAACCAGACATACTGCTGAACGACTATATTGAAAAAGAAGTAAAGGTAAGTTGTCGCAGGCAGCATGAAGTGACTGCCAAACGGAGGGGAAAAAAGATAATGCCTTTTGTCCACCAGATGCTTTGAAGTTTATAAACCACTTTCACATAAGTATTTTCATGGACTATCCCACTTGTCATCCTGCCTAAGGTAACAGATTTAATAACTGGAAATAATAAAACTCAGACCCATGTTTTCTGGTTCCTTCTGCAGTAGCTTACCACCTTTATTTTTTAAAGTCTCTACCATGTGATTATCAGATGTGTGCTGCCCCACCCAAAGTGGCTCATAACCTGGGAGAAACACTCAGGGTAACTCCTCCTTTCCAGAGTAGAAGTTATTTGGTCAAGGTTCTGGAGCGATGAGTGCCACAACTTAGAATACAGATCTCCTGAACTCATTGTTTCTGAAGTCCGTGGTTGATGCTGAAGTCTGTACCCAAAAGACTTGTGGTCAAACCTGACACATAAAATGCATGTGTTCATTCGTACTCCTTTCCCAAACACATGAAAACTAAGTAAATTAGTAAAGCCACAAGGTCAGAAACCTAGGAAAGAAGATAACAGTAGATGAATGATGCTTGCTTGTAAGCTTGGAAGAAGGCAACAAATGAATATGAAATAGCCAAATTAAAGTGAAGAAACTGACCAGAGTCTCTTCAGAGGGTGGCTCAAGATAGAGGTATGGGGCTACTTGAAAATTTGTGTAGAGGATTCCCACTCTCACTTGGCATGATCAGATAATTAACCTTTAAGACGCCTTCTCTGTAGAGAAATTGGACTAGGAAGACCTGGACATGGGTACATAAAACACAAAAGACAGTGGGGTAAAGACCCAGATTGAAAACAAGGGCGTTAAGTCAAAGCCTGATACAGAATAGTGAGAACCCCAGTCTGTTTTCTGTCAAGCTTCCAGAGGGCCCGCAGTTAAGCTTTTTCCTAAGAGGATCCTTGGAAGAACCCTTTCAGGGGGAATCTGAAAATCCTCAGAGAAGAGCTTCCTAGATACTGACACTTGGGCAATTATTTCGTAATCCACCTAAATCAGTGTTTCTCCAAAGGGATAATATGACTCCCTGGAGGGCATTGGAACATGCCAGGAATGCTACAAAAGCAGATACCCACACGTTATCTTGGATTATGGGCTGAAATATGAGATTTTACTTGCCAGGGACCACTGAGTACGTTTTCTTTTGAGAAGAGGGCAGTAGGTCAAGTAAGTTTTGGGCACCTTTGACCTCAAGAAAGCCCAACACTTGTTTACTCTCATCAATGCAGCGAGCTCCTTAGGCAGCCAAGAATGAGCACACACTTAAAGAAAACGTGTAACAAAAAAGCTCAAGACAAACAGTAAGTAAACATGAATGAAACACCAACAAAGCAGAAAATAAGGGGGGAACTGTACTTCAAACACTTATATCATGTTCTCAAAAACATACGAGAAACTACGAAATTACAGGAGTCTACTTTTAAGTAAAGGAAAGATGGCAAGAGCTTTTGGAACATATTATATGTCTTAAAAAAATTCAAAAGAGGGGTTGAAAGACAAACTGAAGAAAAATTCCCCATATAGGATAACTAAAATACAGTTTGAAATTAGTAAACAAAAGGTTAGCAGGTGTGTATTGGGGTGGGAGTTGGGGGGAGGGAGATTAATGGATTAATCTAGAAGGTTCAACATCTGACTCATTATCAGAAGAACATTGGTGATATAACGGTATGCATAGCTGCCTTCCTAGAAGAAACAGAAAGGAATGAGGAGGAAATTATGAAGCCATTCCTACAAGGACAGTTCTAGCATTAATTAAAGGACATAGCTCTCCTAGTTGAAAGGATCTCCTTGCAATGAATAGAAAGAGGTCTCGTTGAATGTTCATGAACCCCTTCTGAGGAAGTTACTGAAGGATTTGCTTCATCAAAACATGAGGGGAAAAAGAAAAACAGGAGGAAAGATGGAATTCAGAATCTCGGGGAAACATTATTCTCAAGAGGGCAGAGAAAAGAAGTTCCAGGTCAAGTATTTGAAAGGAATGGGTCTAAAAAGCAACCCAATCAAGTAGGCTCTGGGTGAGGGAAATACGTTTTATTTTTTAGGGTAGAAAACTATATTGAATATAAAATTGGTTCCTATTTGCCTAGCCCAACAGAGCAGTGTATGTCAGAAATAGGAGGAGGAAATAGATGTGTGGCTAAGTTCCCTTCGTGAATAACTATCCTGTTTGTGCCATGATTCCTGGTGAATTGGTTTGTGCCCAGCTACCATTACTGAAGATTTTAATCTCAGACTCTGTAAAAGATTACTGATTAAAAGGAGAAAAACGCGAGACAGAATTTCAAATTCTTCTGGAATCCAGGTTTTCTTGAGCCTTGAACAGTGGCTGTATGAACCACTGTAACTGTTGCCCTGAGAGCATCTCTAAAATTTAAATAAATTTTAAAAAACCAACCCTCTTGGAGCAAAACAGCATAGTTTAACTAGGAAAGAGTATCTTGAACATTGTGCTCCTTTAAGACCTGTTTACAAGGAGGGCTTCAGAAAGTTTGTGGAAAACTACTCTGAGAAGGATAGCATTAGAAGGTCCTGAATAGAGTTGGTGAAGCAGGAAGGAAGAGAAGGGATGTGGGACAGAACTAAAAAATCATCAGAGACCAGGCTTTCTCTTCAGATAGAGGCTAGTGGGACCTCTTAGTCACTCTTAGATCTGGAACTGAGCTCACCTCTGTGGTAGAATAATTAACCATTTGAAATCAAAAGGACAGTGCTTACCAAATGACAAATTCAGAGGGTCAGAAAGGAAGTGGAGGCAGGAGAAAGCAGAGTCAGCGGTGGTACATGGAGGGATGCAGTGGGTGAGTGGAAACAGAATGCGTACGGACTGTTGAATGAATACCGACGGTCTACTCGGAAACCTTCACCAAATTCACAATAAAAAGTTTCATAGAAAAATTCTATGATCTTGAAGGTTTATTTTTCCATGAACTTGTATATATGCGATCAAATTGGCAGTAGAACTTTGAAAGATTAGTTAGGGACCTCGGAGGGCAGTGAATTTACATTGATGGGGGAAGAGCAACTGAGAAAAGAAGGGGAGAATGCTTACCCAATTCAACGAATACAGTGTCGCTGACTTGTACATGCAGAAACTATTGAATTAATGCATGTTTTGCTGCATATTTTCTCAACAACAAAAATTAAACCAAAAAAATTACACATGTGTTTTAAAGAACTACACAATGAGATACCGCTTCGCTATGTCGGTGAGGATGCGGATAAATTGCTGGTGGAAATACAAAATACTGTTGCTGTGAATAGCAGTTTGGTAGTTTCTCAAAAAGTTAATTGTAGACTTTTATACCCACCAGAAAACTCACTGCCGTCAAGTTGATTCTGACTCATAGTGACCCACCTTCAGAAAAGACCAAACTCGCTGCCATTGAGTCAATTCTGACCCCTAGGGACCCTTAGGACAGGGTAGAATAGCCCTGTTGCATTTCCGAGACGGTAACCCTTTGTGAGAGTAGACAGCTCCATCTTTCTCCCTAGTGCCACTTAAGACCTGACAAGTCTATTGCTGATTTTCAAGAGACTTGAAGACCATGACTCAGGCAGGTGTACACCAGTGTCCACTCCAGCACTATTTACACAGCCCAAAGGGTGGAAACAACCTTTCATGTCCATTGAAGGATAAATGGATTAAAAAAATGTGATTCACACAGGGGGGAAGGGGGGAGGGAGAAAGAGAGAGAGAGAATGAATTTTAGTACTTAGCCAGAAAGAGGAATGAAGTTCTGATACATGCTATAACATGGGTAAACCTTGAAAGTATTATGCTGAGTCAAATAAGTCAACCCAAATGTATAAATGTTGAATGCTATGAAGAGAAAAATAGGAGCAAGGGTTTCATCCCTGCCTGGTGGTTTCCCCCTGAACTTCAATGAAGGAATCTCTTCCTTCCTCACTGAAGTAATACCAGAACTTTCCCCACTGCCCAGGCCCCGTTCCCTGTGGTGCCAGTGTAGACCACATAGGGAACAATAGAATGACATTTAGGCTCTTCTGCCCAGCTTCAGCCAGGGAGGTATCAGTGAGGGTTCACTGGTGAGCTAGAACGCCCATCATGCCTAGCAGTAAAGACACTAACTCCATTGTCATTCAGAAGCCAAATGTGGAATCTGACCTTCTACTATGACCTTATAGTATCAAGGTAGCTGCCCATCCTCATTTTCCTGTGCGATTAGAGCAAAAGATCGGCCATTGTGTCACAAAAGGCCAAAAGAGGAGAAAGAGGATGGGGCAGGAAAACTATTAGAAGGAATAATGCCTCTGAACATCCCCAGTTTGCCAGAAGACACACTTACGGAGATTTAGGAAGTTGAGCAAACCCTAAAGAATTGGCACCAAGACACATCATAGTACAGTTCCTGAAAAGCAAAGCAGAAAAGTTGAAAGTGGCAAAAGAAAACTCACATCTTGCTTACACGGGAAAAGGAATTTGAGTAACAGCAGATTCTCAACAGAAACCACGCAGACCAGGAATAAGTGGCATAGTATTGTATGAAGTGCTGAAAGCCCCTGTGAATATTAAAGGATAAGAAACTAATACTACAGCAACTCTAAGCATACATTTGAAACGTAGGTGGATATTGAACAAGTCCTTGCAAAGAAAGCACCACAACTCACCCAGGTGAATTGATCCTGTGACTAGCCCTACAGCAAATTATCAAGGAAATTCAGTATGTAATTTTAAACTCCCAATAAGAAATCTACACGCTCAGATAATTTCACTGAAGGGTTCCACAAACTATTTAGAGTTAACACCAGTTCTACGTAGTCTCTTCTAGAACACAGAAGGGAGGGAGCACTTTGTGACTTGTTTTATGAAGTCAGTGTCGCCCTGATACCCAAACCAGACAGAACACACATTACAAGAAATCTGCAAGAAAACATTAGCAAATGACATCCAGCAATTTATAAAAAGAATGACACCCTATGAGCAAGTGGGGTTT